GTGCGATTGGCACAGGACAGAGCGGAGTTTAGGGCTGTTGTACATAGGGTCACTATGAGTCGCAGGCGACTCGACGGCACATAACAACAACAAACAACAGTATATGTTTACTGATTCCTTTCTTTCTCCTATTTTTAGGCTTGTCTTTTAAGTTGGGGTTTGTGTTTTGGGGGTTGGTTTGTTGTTGTAATTTTGGCTCTTTTTTAAAAAAGCTTCTCAACAATTTTTTAGGGTTTGTTTTTAAGCATATTCATAGTTACTTTTTTATGGTACATAATTATTATTTTCTTATTTATCAAAGATAGGGTTGCATTCTGGTGTAGATAGTGATTTAGATTATAATGATACATATTTGTTACCTCTCCAAATATGATATTTTATTGGTTCATCAATATTTTTAATTTTATATTGGTTTAATTTTATATTGGTTTTCTTAAAAAATTTGTATACATTGTGTTTTATACTATGTTTCATTCACAGTGTGTTTTATACAGTCATTCCCATGAATTTTGTTTTATAGAATAACCACCATTGAACTATGACTTTCATTACCCTGTCTTTGCATATCCCCACAGGATCTTTTCCCATTTCCTTTACCCACCCTTCCTCCATCCACCAAATTGTGCAGCCTTATGATTTCTTCCCCTGCCTATCCTCACCCTTCTACTTCTACCCTCCCCCTTGGATCCTCAGACACATTTTACTAGTTTATCTATTTTTCTACAATAATAGTCTTATGCAGTATTTGGTCATATTATGCAGTATTATGCATAATGTTCTCCAGTCCCACCCAAGCTATGTTGAAGCGTTTTTTTTTTTTTATGATTATTGCTTTGAAAGCTGTGTCAGATAGCTCTAATATCTATGACATCTCAATATAAGCATTTTTTGGTTGTTTTTCCTTGTTGAGATTGTCCCGATGTCTTTGTTTGAGGAGTGATTTTAGATTGAGACTTAGATATTGTGATAATTAAGTTATGAGATTCTGGATCTTACTTAGATTGTCTCTTACAACAGCCTGCTTTTTACACCCTTCCAGCTGGGTATGAGGGGAATACCTTGTCCAGCTTGCTAATCAAAGTCCAATTTCCCCACTTGCCCATGTGTACCTGGGAATAGTACTTTCTTACTGGTAGGTAGAAGAGGGCATTCAGACTACCAGGGGGTCTTTGCTGATACTATTTAGTGTTGTGAAAGGGGTCCCTCCTGTCTGTTTCCTAGTTGGTCTCTGCTGACCACTCCAGCCAGTAAAAAGGAGTAGGTACTTTAGGTATTTAACTCTGGATACAGGGCCTCTGATGGTCTTGGGGGATAGATGGGAGGAGGGTTTCAAAGGTTGTCCTCTGTTTTGTTTTTATTTTGTTGGAGTAATAAATCTGCTGTGTAAACTTTTTTCTGACTTAGATTGCCACTTTATTGGTCTGTTAGCTAGAAAGAGGAAGGGATGGGAGTCCTTTTCTTTTTTTGTCCATGCTAGTTAACATTTTTCTGGCATGCCATGTGGACTACAATGAGGCAACAGAAAACTCAGATTATTACTGTTTTCTTCAAGTTCCTAACTACTTTGCCATTTTCTCACCATCATTTCAATCTTAAGTGGTTTTTTTGGGGTTTGTTTTTCTTTTAGTATAAAGTGCCCACAGTTCTTTGGTGTTCTTGGCAAGGGGAAAATACATCTACTTTATCATACTGGAGGCTCAACTAAAAAAGCCAGCAGCATTAAAAATTTCTGCTTAATCGGGGCATAGAGAAAAAAATTTTTTTTTGGAGGAGGCACTGGTATATGAATTAGATGAGTGGTCTGAAACTTGATACTGCATCAGCATCATTAAAAGGATATTGTCAGAATAGATTCTTAGACCTCACACTCTGACATTTAAATTTGACTCTGAGCTTTTGTCACCGTAAGAGCTCTTTGGATGAGTCTGAGGTACAGCCATCTTCCTGGATAAGTTCTTTTTAAACTTCCTGGCAAGGAGCTCTGTGCCTTAGCAAGGAATTGTGCTGACAATAAAAGGCATACTGTTTGAACCCTTCATTTGCTGAAAGGGAGAAATATGGCCATCCTTTCTCCTTGTAATTTACTGCCCCTGAAAACCTGCTGGAGGTCAGCTATAAGTCTATTCCAACTTGATTGTATATAACAACATTGGTGGCCTAGGGAGCTCTGGTAGCTTAGTGGTGGTAAGGAGTTGTGATGCCAGCCCACAGGCAGGCTATTCCAATCCACCAGCCACTCCATGGGAGATAGATGATGGGAAGTTTCCTCCCATGCTATTTCCAGCTTCTAAAAACCTGCTGAAGGGTCAGCTATGAGTCAGTTCCAAATCATTGTCATATATCAACATTGGTGCCATTACTGTGTAAGGAGTTGCATTTCCAGCCCAAAGGCAGATGGTTCTAATCTACCAGTCACTCGATAGGAGAAAAATGGGCAGTCTCCTTCCATACCATTTACAGTCTCATAAACACCCACTAGAGGATCAGCGGTGAGCAAGTTCAGACTCTGTGGCAATGATAAGGGGTGATTTTTATGCTGTAATTACATGTGGAGAGACCCTGCTATTTAAGGATCAATAAGAATTTTTGGTGCGATTTTATAATTACATGTTTCTGCCTACATCTCAGAAATTGATTAAATAAGGTTACAGATTGGTATTTTGAGAACAGTCCCTAGGTGAATGATTATATTATTCATCCTTAGTAAAAAGTCACTGAGCTGGGTGGTCTCCAGGGTACTTTTAGTAAAGGATCTGCATAGCCCAAATCCACACTTGCTGTTAGTCAGTTCCAACTCATTGTGACTCCATATAAGACAGAGTAGAACTGTCCCTGCCCCACAGAGTCTCCAAGGCTATAGATTATCATGGAAGCAGCAAACTGTCCTGTTTTTCCTACAGAGTGGATGGTGCATTTAAAAACCACCAATCTTTTCATTTGTAGTTGAATATGCTTTAAAGACTGAACCACGGGGATTTCTCTGGATGTGTTATAAGAACTAGCATTTTATGTATTCTTAAATTTTATTTATTTATTTTTAAAATACAGCTCTGAGATGAGTGTTCTGTCTTTTCTCTGCTGTGTGACTTTAAATAAACTTCCTCTGGCCCAGCAGTTTAAATGTTGATGAATCCCCCAAGACTCCCACAATGACTGTGAAGGCTGTGTCCTATAAAAATCCAAGAATGGCAATTCATCTAAATCAGGGTTTCTCAGCCTCAGTGCTCTTGAGGTTTAGCCCAATAATACTCTTGTGAGGGGCTTTTCTTTGCATTTGTAAGAGGTTAAGGAACATCCCCTACCTCTGTACTTTTTGTTGTTGTTAGGTGCCATTGAGTCAAGCACAACTCATAGCGATCCCATGAACAAAAAATACAGTCCTGTCCTGCGCCATCCTCACACTTCCTGACACACAAGAGCCCATTGCAGCCGTCACCATGTCAATCCACTTGGTTGACAGTCTTCCTTTGGGCACTATAAACAGCCATATGTCCCAATGTTGTGTGCTGTTGCCAATGGCAACTTCTAGACCCCTGTGGGACAGAGTAAAGACTGCCCTATAGGATTTCCTAAGATATAATTGCAAAGCCAGTGGTCAGTATGAACCTTTTGGTTAACAGCTGAGGCCTTCTCCACCAAGGTCTCCATATACCCGGTGGGCAAAATTACCTTGTCATCCCCCTTTATGTTGAGTACCACTTATATAAATTATGATAATAGTAGTAGGACAATACTGGTAAGCTAATTTCTTCCATTGTATCCTTTATTAAATGCTGTTTATTTAAAAGTGTCTATGAAAATTTCATATTACATGATAGAGAAAGCCTTATCTCTCACTCTATTTCAGTCCCTTTCCCAGTCCTGTGTCTTGACATTAAACCACTGCTCTTATTACTTTATTTATAACCTTATTGCTAAGGCCCTTTTTAAGAACTCATTGACCTTTCTGATGTATGTGTTGAGCGCCTACCATGTGGCAGGCATGAAGGTGACGGATGAGCAGGTTAGTTAACCAGGTAAAGGGAAACAAATGTGATATATGGTGGAATGGGCAGGGAGATGTGGAAAGATGAGTGTTTTATTATAATTTAAAAAAGGGACCAAACTCATTACCATGATTTTTAACAAGTCATTACAGATTTTACAAAGCACTACAAATCATTTGAGTGCCAAAGTATCTAAAACCCATTTTGCTTTGATCTAGAAGAGAAATAACTTGCAAAATGAGTTTTCCAGTTTAGTGTATTAGGATTCTATTGATAATCAGATTTCTTGTCTTCAGATGTGACATTTATTCTGTAGAGATGATAAGCCAGGTTCAAGCTGTCAATTAAAAAATGATGACCAAAAAAAAGATTTGGTTTTGTTAATATAATTTTTATAATTTTTTTTTCTCTCTCTCTTCCTTCTCTTTTCTATTTCAGTCTTGTGAAAATGCCATTGTGTGCTGGAAACCTGGAAAAATGGAAGATGATATAGATAAAATTAAACCTAGTGAGTCTAATGTGACTATTCTTGGGCGATTCGATTACAGCCAATGTGACATTTGGTACATGAGATTTTCTATGGATTTCTGGCAAAAGGTAGCAATTTGTTCTGACCATTGCACATTTGGGTTTTGTTGCATGTTATTTATTCTACCTTATGGCTCTGAACACCATCTGCAGGGCTTAATTTATGAAATTAACAATTGAGTGTCAAGTTTTACCTTCCATAACACCTGTTATAAGACATACTGTTTCATCTTTATATGATCGGATTGACAACAAAAATTCAGAAGATTAGATTGAAAATTGCAGGGTATGGGAAGAATTGATATAATAGGAACAACTTGGGGAAAAAGTGAAAATGGTTGCACAGCTACAAAAACTGTTAGAAACTGTTGAGTGTGCATGTGTGTTATGCTGTGTACATTCTCAGCAACACACACAAAAAAGTAGTAATTTAAAAGGATAGAAAAAAAGAATGTTTTTGTGGTTAGTTTGTATCACAAAAAAAAAAAAAAGAAGAAGAGCACCATGTTAAGGACATGTTGTCAAGTCCTTCAATTTGCAAAAATACTTTATCATTTACTCAAACAACTCTGTGAAGTACAGCCATGTGCTGAATAATTTCTATGATTCTGACCACCATATATTATTAAAAATTGGAGCTCCATACCCTGGTTTATTATAACATGCACACTACTTTGTGATATACATCAAAAATTACTGTATTGCAAAAGATGTTTCCATGTGTCTGTAAATGCTATTATGATTTTTATGGCATAGAATTTGTAATGTTGAGAGTCAAAACTGACTTAGAGCTGATCCTACAGCAGATTTTCAGAGGCAATAAATTAAAGATAAATAAACAGAAGATTGCCCTTTATCACAAGGAGAAGCAAGTGGATTCATACTGCAATCACAGATTGCGATTGCATTATGGCTATTAATCAATACATGGCTGTATATATTATTCCTGTTTATAAATCAAGAATATCTTACAGAAGAAGATAGTCTGGCCTATAGCCAGAGACCAGAACGTTTTTCTGAAATTGCTTAAATGTTTCAAATTGGTAAATTCATTAATTTGTTGTATTTTAAAATCACACAGATGCTTGCATTGGGCAATCAAGTTGGGAAACTTTATGTTTGGGATTTAGAAGTAGAAGATCCTCATAAAGCCAAGTAAGTATTTAAATCTTATGTTAATAACTTCTGCATTTTTCTCCAGTGTTTTTTTCTCCCCAATATAAAGAAAACAAAGTTTCTTTGTTAATTTTAGCATTTCCTAGTTTTTAGAAGATTTTTTTTTAATTCTAACTTTTTCCTTATTTCCTTCAGTAATAATTTTTTTTTATATAAATTATAT